ACTTCTCACTCTTCATTGAGACAAGTCTAAAACATGAAAAAAAATGTTTAAAATTTTATGTAATACCAGTTTACCTACAGTGATAATTAATGCAAAGATTGAATTGTGAGGACAAATAGTATAAGCATTTAGAGAAAGAAATGATCAATACTCTAAAGTATTTGTGGAATATTCTCAAAGAGAACCAGACCAGAGCTTGGCCTTGAGGCTGGGATGTTGTAGGCAGAGAAAGAGAATAGAGGCTTTCTAGGAAGTAAAAACAGAATGTGTGTGAATACATGTTTAAATTACAACCTGGAAACTGAAGAGACTCTAGTTGGTTCTTTCCATGAGTCAACTGGCAAATAAAAATATCTTTAAAGGGTAATGTAATAGTAATAGTAATTCCCTGCCATCAAAATAAAGATCTCTGATCCGTTTTGTGTTCCTAAAACAACCACCTGGGGGACGGCACTTTGTGGTGCTTATCAGTCCATCAATAAAAGATATCAAGGTACCAGCCCATATTTGAATCTTCTTTCTTTAATAATAATAATAATACTGATGTATATGTCAGCATACAAATCTAAGTATGATATAGACAAAACAAAAAGACAGCCTACAGAATGAGAGAAAATATTTGCAAACAATGCAACTGACAAGGGATTAATTTCCAAAATATACAAGCAGCTCACACAGCTCAGTATCAAAAAACAACCCAATCAAAGAATGGGCAGAAGATCTAAATGGACATTTCTCTAAAGAAGACATACAGATGGCCAACAGGCACTTGAAAAGATACAACATCACGAATTATTTGAGAAATACAAATCAAAACTATAATGAGGTATCACCTCACACTGGTCAGAATGGCCATCACCAAAAAGTCTACAAACAATAAATGCTGGGGAGGGTGTGGAGAAACAGGAACCCTCTTAGCCCTGTTGATGAGAATGTAAATTGGTGGGGCTACTATGGAGAACAGTATAGAGGTTCCTTAAAAACCCAATAATAAAGTTACTGTATGATCCATTAATCCCACTCCTGGGCATATATCTGGAGAAAACCCCAATTTGAAAAGACACATGCACCCCGATGTTCACAGTAGCACTGTTTACAATAGTCAAGACATGGAAGCAACCTAAATGTCCATTGGCAGATGAATGGATAAAGAAAATGTGGTATGTGGAATACTACTCAGCCATAAAAAGGAATAAAATAATGTCATTTGTAGCAACATGAGTGGACCTAGAGATTATCATAGTAAGTGAAGTAAGTCAGTCAGAGATAGACAAATATCATATGATATCACATATGTGTGAAATCTAAAAAAAAAGTGACACAAACAAACTTATATACAAAACAGAAAGAGATTCATAGACATAAAAAACAAACTTACGATTACCAGAGGGGAAAGAAGGGAGGAAGGATAAACTGAGAGTTTGTGATTGGCTGATACAAACTACTATTTTCAGATAAGATAAACAACAAGCCCCTACTGTATATACTGTATAGCACAGAGAACTGTATTCAATGGTTTGTAATAACCTGTAATGAAAAAGAAAATGTATATATATGTATATATATATGACTATATATATATGTGTGACTGAATATGTATGCTGTACACCAGAAACTAATGCAACATTGAAAAAAACATGAAAATAAAGTGAAAAGTATACAAAGAATTCTAAGTATGATAAAGTTCATTTCTTTAAAGAGTTTAAAGATTAATAAGATATCCTTTTTGTGATAAGACTTGTTCCTGGTATACAATTTCACTAGTAGTTTTGTTATTGTTTTTGAGGCAAAGAATCAAAACTATGTATTTCCTCAAAAACTTTAAAACAATAAAACTTTATGTCCTATAAAAATCTTAAGGAGCTAACGTAAGTAAAACTCCAGCCACAGATCCTGGCGTGGAACAGGCCCTTGGGATTTGCTAAAGGTTAATTTGAAATGAATAATCAAAAACATTTGTTGAATTGAGTTGTTGAAAATTTCTATCACATAATTAGATCCCTACTATTTTTTTTTTTTACCATTTAAGCCATTTTTATTTTTCTGGATTTATTTTTTTATTGACATATAGTTGATTTATAACGTGTTAGTTTCCAGTACACAGGAAAGTGATTCAGTTCTCTCTCGCTCTGTATATATAAAGAGACACACATATATGTATTGTTTTTCGTATTCTTTTCCATTATGGTATATCCTAATTATTAATGTTTAAATTCCCTGATGATTGATGGTAGACATATAATCCTGTTATTTTTTGACTAGAAATACAGTCAAATTCAATAATTACTTGAATGCCTGTTATGTACCTAGCATAGTGGTGCATAAAATAGACAGAGTTTGTGACATCATGGGGCTTTGTGTAGTGGAAAGCATGTGAAGTTGATTGGAAGTCGGGACTGGAGTTGCTGGGAGTTTGGGATTGGAGCTGAGCCTCCAATTCCATCCGCTCTTTCAGGTTCTGTAGTGGGGGAAGCATGGTTAAAATGATCTGATAGACATAGGTTCCAGCCTAAACATTAATATGAGCCCATTTTCTTAGCCACATGACAGGCATATTGGTACCTCACAACCAGTCCATTATAGTCCTGTAAGATTGCTAGGGAACACACTCCCCATCGTGACTCCAAATATCATAAGAATGAATAAATGCATTCAACTCATATAAGTAACATGTGAAATTATTCAGATAATTCCAGTGAACATTGCTCTCAATGGTTAAATATTTCCTTGAATTTTAAAACAAACTAAATAAAGCCTACAGTTCAATAATGACTCTGTGTGGTTTCATTAAAACTTAAATTTTGACAGTTTCTCGGAAGGCCAACACTTCATAATTAATGAATGCTCAGCCAAAGGATTGACCTTCTGAACAACTGGATAAGTGCAAATTTGGGAGGGAAAAAAAAACTGCTTTGGACTATTTATTGAAGCCTAAGGGTCGTTATCTTTGAGAATGAAAGTAAGTTCTGGAAGCAAGCCTAAGAAATTGGCTCTCTGTGTTAACATTTGAGAGTCATTTTTACAGTAAAAAGGCATGCTGTCTACTTTGTTTTATGCTATATTTAAAATGAGAGAAATTGTAAAAAGCTTCATTTACATTGATCGTTTGTGACCTCCTTTAAAGGTTCCTAAGATTGAACTCCTAGGCACGTGACGTTTAAGATACCAGGTGTTTGATATAAATGGCTCCAGCGTTCATTTCTGAGCTCAGTCTACAAAGCTTCTACTGACAGAAAGTTCCTTCTTACCTGAGATTGAGGCAGTTAGTTCATCTACTTAAAGGTTAGTGTTAATGAGATCAAGGTCACAGGAGAGGCCTGATGGAAACTTCAAGTCAAACAGACCTAAATTTGAATTCCAGTTCTGCTTCTTACTAGTTGTATGACCTCAAATAAGTTACATAGCCTCCCCGAGGCTCAGTTTCTTCACCTTTAAAATGGGAAAGTAACACCTACCTTTCTATGTTTTGGGGTGAGACAGAGACACTCCAGTTATTTATGCAGTTGGTTCAAGGACTGATACGTAATATGCCCTCAATAAGTGTTTTTTTGTTTTAGTTTTTTAATAGAAAAACAACTCACTGTACACATTGTGTATTCTATTGATCGTTAGTCAGCAATATCCAAATATCGGCTAAAGCATTGTACGGAATGTATATAAACCTGTACACCTGCTTATTATACTTTTGAGCCCACCAGAAATTCGGATATTACAACAAGAATTCCTTGTCTCTTTGATAATTGTATGGCAATTACAGTCAGTTCTAATGCGATCCCAGTGACTGAATAAATTGTGAGAATAAGCACGTAAAATAACATAGTTTTAGCTCACATGTGCTCAATAAATTGTGTGCTGGTACATGGATACATGGATGACTGAATGAATGGACTATTTAAAACTGTGGAGCACTCAGAAACAAAGCTTGAGGTAAGAGACTAGGGATTTACTTCCCCGCCGACACTGACTTGCTCCATCACTTTGAGAAATGTCTTAATTCCTCTGATTCTCAAATTCTTCTTAAAAAGTTAGTGGTTTGTTGTGTAATGTCCATGAGCTGCTCCATTTCTGAAGGGCTATGATTTAAACGGGCAAGGAAAGTTGATTTAGGAGGCAGTTTGTGTACAGGAACAGAAGAGGTGTTCCCTGAGCTCTTAGATCCCGTCCTCATGTTTTCTCTTCTAAGTCTATCAGACTTTTGAAAAGTTTCCCAAATGTAGGTTATTTTATCAACTGAAGAATAGAGAATGCATTAGGAAATGATTTCAATCAGTTTTCCAGAGAAGAGGGACTTAGAGATGGGAAATCTGAAGGGTCAGTCAATAGCTCCTGGTAGGTTTTTTTTCTTTTTTTCCTCACTTGTTCATTCATTCATGCAACAAATGCTTATAGAATAATTACTGTTTCCATGGCAACATGCCAGGGTAGGATTGTAAAGATGAATTTGATATTCTCTTTGTCCTTAAAGAATTTGTTCTTTAGTAGGGATGGAAAAGCATGCACATACATGTTAAGTGTTCTAAATGGCATGAAAGTTATATGAGATTTAAAAAGAAGGTAGACTTAATTTCAGCAACTTGGTTGGCAACAGAGGAAGGAAAATTAAAGAAATCTTGGAGGAGATGGCATTTAGCTTGGGTTTGGACATCCGTAGATTGGGCAGAAGAGAATTTCTGACAGAGGAAATAATGAACAAAGACTCAGAACAGCAGGAAATGGAGTGCAGTTCAATCATACAATTGGCTTTATGAAAGAGAGTTATGGGAAATCCATTTAAAAGGATGCCATCAGATTGAGAGGGCCTTGAATGCCATAGTAAGAGGGTTGGTTTTTATTTTCTAGGCCAAAGCAAGCCATTGCAATTTTCAAAGAAGGGAGATGGAAGAAAATTGTGTTGTAGGATGTGACTCCCAAAGAACAGCTGTGCATTATGGTTGTAAAATGAACTTCGATGGGCAGATGTCCCCAGTGAGTCTCCTAACCCAACTCTCATTCTTGTCCAGGCTGCTGACGTGCTGCTGCAACATGGAGCTAATGTCAACGTTCAAGACGCAGTATTTTTCACTCCACTGCACATCGCAGCACACTATGGGCACGAACAGGTAAGTCAGTAGCATTTCCAAAGCCTGGGGGATTACTTAAGTGCTCTAGGCTTTTCTTGAACTGTCCTAGCTTCAAAGAAAGGATATTTAAGGTATCTTTTGAATTATTTTTGCCGTCTTCCTCATCAGCTCCACCCCTGAGGAGCTTTTGCAGATCCACAGAAACATTGGAGCTGCCGAGTTATTAATTTTTACTGACAAGTACACAAGAGGCAGGAGAGTATACTGCTAAGTGTGCAGCCGTAAGAATCAGCCTGAATTTGAAAAAAATGTCTAGCTTTTTGACCATGTGTATGTTGTATAATATCCCTGACCCTCAGTTTCTTGACCTATAAAATGGAGAAAACATTAATAGTACCTATCTCATAGGGTTGCTGTTACCATGAGGTATGAAAATTAAAATGTTTGGCAAGTTGCTCAATAAATGTAATGAATGCCACTGTGATGATGCTAATGACAGTAACAATAGAACAAATCATAAAGGCCGTTCCAAAAGTTCTCTGAAAAGAAGTGACTTTCAGAAGCTAGGTTTCTTCTTTTCTGCTAACCCGGAATGTGGTAGGCTAAAAAAGTGTCTACCAAAGTACGTTTGCATTCTAATCTGTGGAAACTGTGAATATGATCTTAAAAGAGACATTGTAGATGTGACCAAGTTAAAGATCTTGAAATGGAGAGATTATCCTAGATTATCTGGGTGGACCTGATGAAATGAAAAGGGTCTGTAAAATCAGAGTGAGTAATAGGAAATATGACAATGGAAGCAAGAGGTTAAAACGATGCAAGAAGGCGCCACAAGCTAAGGAATGCAGGTGGCCTGCAGAAGCTGGAAGAGTAAGAAATGAAAGCCTCCAGAGGGAATGTAACCTGCCAACACTTTGATTTTAGACTTCTGACCTCCAGAACTGTGAGATAATAACAATGTTGTTTTAATCCCGTAATTTTGTGGTAATTGCTACAGTGGTAATGAGGAGCTAATATATGGAATAACCTAGATAAACTGAAAAATAATCACTAAGTGTGCTTTAAATATATAATTTGCTTTAAATATATAGTTGGACAATTGGTACATATTTGTAAAATTTGATAATCTGTAATAAAATAGTAACATGTATAGAACACTTTTAAGTTAACAATATATCTTTATTCAATAAATAATTTCATTTGACCTTCATGACAACCTTATGAACTTAATAAGAGTTACCACATGAATGAGCTCACATTATGGGACAGGCACTGTGTTAAGACCTTTATGTGGACTTCTTTTTTTCCCTAAGTTTGCCACAGTCCTAAAATTAGCTGTTATTTGCCCCTCCTTATCAGCGTTGCGCACTGATAAGCACATTGAGCTTACTCAGGTCAGGTAGCATGCCAGAGTCATGCAGCTAGAAAGGAGAAGAACTGGAATATGTAGTCAGGTCTGTCTGATCCCAAAGCCCATATTCATTCTGTTGTACCAAAGAGCCTTTTCTTATCCCTCTTCTACCAGTGAGACAGATCATGGAGTCCAGGCCATGTACTTAAGTGGTGGAGCTAGAATTCAAGGCCAGGTGCTATCATCCCAAAGTCCATTGATTTTAAGCCTCAACATACTGAAAGACAAGATTTTTGTGTGCTGCTTTCAAACATCATCTTTTAGCTGTACCCAAGGAACTCGATAGGACCACATAAAACAGAAATACAAATGCAATTGGAGAACCAAAACTTCACTGCTCTTTTAACATCTCTTTTTCACTCTTCCTCATTTTATATCTCTAGATCTCTAGTCTCACTCAGTTGTGCAGTAGAATCACACCTTTTTACCTTCGTAGACGTCATGCCGTTGCACTGCCTGAGGATCCCAGGTTGAAAATCAAACTTGCTTGTGTCTCTGTGCTGTTCTCGTCATTGTGCCTTTATTTCTTTGCTGACTGGCATATGCTCAGACACTCTCAGACCTGTGAAGCGTGACCTATGGCTAGGGAAGATTGCTCATTTCATTGATGTGCTGCTCAGAGTGCACTGGAGTACACTGGAGAGCTGGGCACTGAAAGTGCTTTTGAAAGTACGGAGTCCAAAAAGCTCAGGTGGTGAAAAAACTCCAAACTTTCCTGACTTCAGGCACAGACAGGATGTACCCAATGCATGTGATTTGTAACGTCATCCTCTTTGACGATTAACCTCATCACCCAGCAGAAACATAAAGAGCGTCTATGCATGTGGTGTGGAGTGCTAAATTTGTTTACTTTCCCTGAGCATATAGTCACAGTCTTATAAAATTATGCTAAACTGTGGATGGCCCTTTTATGATAAGAGACTCACTTTCTGTGCGCAGAGGCAGCATGGAAGTAATTTGTGGTCGCTATTGTCATTGGCTAAAATATGCTGACAGGAGAATGGTACATTTGATATATAAATGTGCCTAATGTGCCAGGTTCTTTGCCATTTGTTTATTTACTTATTTTTAAGTGGAAGAGTAGATGTCTTGTACCGAGAGCAATATTTCCTAGGTATATGATAATAGTGCTTAATAGACAATCGATTTCAAAGATAGTTTAAATCTGTCCATTATAAAGTCACATAATCAGAATTTATGAAGTCTGTAAGTGGAAATATCTGCTTAGTAGTGCAAAGTTCTTGAGACTAAATGTCTGCTGTTCAGATTTCTCCTGAATTAAGTATCGGTCTGTCCATTAGTCGACCAAGGGGTAAAATGCACATTTTCCACGTTGGTGCTACCACTTCTGCCATCGTTTATTGAGGATCAGGCACTTTTCTAAATGCTTCATGTGTGATAGCTTATTTAATTCTCATGAAAACGCTGTGAGGTAGAACTAATATCATTCCCGTCTTAACAACAAAGAAACTGAATTTCAAGAGGCCAAATGATTTATTCAAGGTGACATTACCAATAAGTAGAAGCCTGATTTCCAATCCTTGTTCTTTACCGACGACACTCGATAGGAAGCCTCCCCCCATTCCACCCAGCTAAGTTTTTGCCTAGAATTTCTATCAAATGTATGCCACATTCTTGAAAGGTTTTTCCCCATGATATATTTATTTGCTGCCACCTTAATGCTGAAACCTCAGTGGTCAAGACATTTGAAGCGTCCTCCCATAACTGTTGTTTTAATGGTACAAGCGCATCCTAACTTATCTCTTGGGATCCCTGTGATGACTTCTGAAATT